GCCCGCTTGGCTTCAGGGGCTAGTTCGGGCTCGGGGGTCACGGAAGGCTTCCCCTTCGGCAGGGTAGTCGGTATGTCGGACCGCAGGTGAGCTTCTTCGTCTTCGACCTCCTCCAGCGAAACTTGGGGTTTCTTGCCTCGAGGTGGCAGTTGGTCACCGGGCCAGTTGATAAGGCCCCTCGGCGGCATTTGGTCACCTTCCGTCGAGTGGGTGGAGGAGGGCTCGCTGCCCTGTGTTCGGCCCTGGCCAAGGGCACTTGTGCTCGGCGTTGTAACCTCCACCGTGATCCTATACTTATCCTCATTTCTAACGCCGGCGGTACTCTCGGAAACTCTGGGCAGACGCACACATATTGGCTCACCAAGGGGGTCGGCATCGTTTGCGGATGAGTCCACTACTAAATGTAGGTGGTCCCCTTGGTTCCCGGCCTCAGCTGCTTTTCCACCACTGATGAGAGGAACTACCTGGCATACATCTTGACAGGAAGGCCCTGCCATTGGAGTTGTCGGCCAATTCTCCCTGCCGGGGCGACGACCACCACGTCTGGCATCCATCTTGTCTTGACCTGAGGCGCTCGCTGGGTTCTCTAGGACTTCCCCCATTCGGTCAAGCGGGGGTGTCAGAGGTGGACCAGCCCCTAAGGGTTCATTGCCCGACGCAGACCGTGTCAAGCGGCGGAAATCGCCTCCTACGCCATAGGCGTTTTGCGATTCTTCATCCTTAGTTTCTTCTACGGTTAACGCGGCGAAATGGTTATGGTATTGTTCGTACGGAGTACCTACATACGTAGTATAAGTCCGGCTAGTAGTACAGGAGCGCGCACCAGATGAAACTAAGTCCTTTGCTGACGCCGTCGAATCGCTTATTTCGATGCCGGCTCGTCTTTTGACGACTTCTCCTCCTTGACCTCCTCGATTTTTGTACCTGCTGCTAATTCCTCCTTCTCGGCTTCTGCGAGTAACTGACGAAGGCATTGGACGTTGGGCTTTTTGCGAGGTGGGAGTTTGATGGGAAGCCACTTGGACTTGTCCGTCGGGCATTTATGGTCCCGGTTCCACCCGGTATTGCCACACTTGAAGCACCGCTTGTCGGACCGGAGCTTGTCGATCTCCATTGGCTGCCCCGCCCCTCCATAAGTCGTTCCTGTGGCGTCCTTCTTGTCGCCACCTGACCCGCTTCCTTTTGATTGATTTTGGTTGCCTTGACCCGAACCGCCTTGGTTCGGGGAGGTCTTACTGCCCAGTCCTTGGGCGATGTTGTATCGGTAGTTGGCGTTGATCCTTAGGACTCGCGCCTTCCATTGTGCGTAGGTTGTGGGGCGTTCATTGTCCCCATGCATAACCGTCCTTCGCACCGTCGGTCTTATTGCTGCTTCGACGGTCTCGAACATCTGCTTCTCGTCTCCGAATTCTTCGCATTTGTGAGCCAACTGCTCGAACTTCGTGAAGAATTCTACCGCGGACTTGAATTCAGACTGCCGTACTTTCTTCCACTCCGCCTTCCAGATCGTCAATTCGGCTACTTCTCGGAACTGCACCGTGAGGTCATGCGAAAACTCGTCCCAGGTTGGAAACTGCCAATGCCCCCATGGGTCCCGATATCGGTAGTATTGGTCTACCCACCATTGCTGCGCTTTGCCTTGTAAGTACCCCTGCGCGAACGTAATGTGGTAAGGGTTCTGTCCCTCGTCGTTCGTCATGTAATACATTGGGAACACCTGAAAATAGACCTCGCAATGATGGAGGAAGCGCGTAATGTCTGAAGAGACCCTGAAGAAGTATTCGGGCTGGGTGATCAACTTGGGCTTTACGTCGTTCCAGGGGTTGTTCACCGCTCCTGGAGTGAGCTGCCATGGAGGAATGGGGTCCGGCGGCGGCGGCAGGACTGGTGGGACCGGCGCATTCGGCGGTCACGAGAGGGAGTGTAGATGCGGGTTGTTACCCGGTGGTGGGTACCCTTCCGGGTACTTTGGTGGCGGCGCTGAAGGTGGCGGCTTTGGTACTGTAGACTCCTTTCCCTTTCTGGAGGGGCCTGCGCTGGGATTGTCGAAGCCGTCATCGTCGGGATCATCGGGTCCCACGCCCGCCCAAAACTGCTCCGTCTCAAGTGGGTTGGGCATTGGTTGAGGCCGCTTGTACGCCTCACACCCCGGCTGGACGTTGTCGGGATGTACCTGGTTCCATACGAGGGCAGCTCAGTGCCAGGTTTCGACTTCTAAAATGTTCTTCATGAGGTACACGTCCCCCATGGTTTTTGCATAGCGGTAGTCTTCTCCAGCCTCCGTGAGGAGCCACTGGGAGTCCCGCTCCATGTCTTCTATCATTATTTCGTATAGGCCATGCCATGGAAGGATATTAAAGATTGTGGGCAGGGGGGCCGTCGGATCAGTCAGGATCGTCCGGACCACCTTCATCACCTCAGCTTCGAGGGAACTGTTTGGCGGCCGACTCGGCATCCTCAGCCTCCTTCCTCTCTCTCACGAGCCTGTCGATCTCCTTGTTTTTCTTCCATCGCCCGATGTCGGAGTCGGGGTCACTGATTTCCGACTCGTAGGCCTGCCAGGCTCTTCTCTTGGCCTCGAGGTTGGTTCCTGCTCACTCGGCCATTCCGGAGTAGCGGAGGGCGGCGGCTCGTTGTCGGTTTTCGACTTCTGCACGAGTGGCGTCGGGCTCGAGAGGGAGGTCCCAGAAGCCATTGGGCCCGAGGAGGGCAGCGATTTCTGCGCGGCGAGTGCGTAGGTCTGCCGCTCTTCCTCTGTCCATTCTGGCCTCGATTCTTGGGGTGAGCCGGGCATCTCGAGGGCGCTCGAGGGACTCGACGAGCGTGTGGTAGAGGAGCGTCCATGGATGCTGGTTGACAGGGACAGGGTCAGCGAATGCTCGACCTGAAACGGACGGTGTAAAATCGGGGACAGGGGCGAGGTCTCCGGCCCCGGCAATTGCTCCAAGCTCTTCAGGACTGTAGTCCGGATACTCTGCCCAGAGCTGCTGATCCGTCGGTTCAGGCCTGGCGACGGGGGTAGAGGGCGTTGGGGTCTCTTCGTGGATGGGGACAAGGAGGCTCCGTGGGGATGGGACTCGGGCCATAGGAGCTTCTTCCCTTGGCTCGGCGTAGACCCAGCTGGTGCTGGGGTGCCAACCGACGGGAGGCCCTCTGTTTGTGGGCCAAGAAAGAACGGGTCTTGTTCCATCTGGACGGGTGGTAGACACGGCGGAGGCCCCAACGGCAAGCTCTCCAGAATCACTGTCGTAGTCGTCCTTTTTCCTCTCCATATACCTTCTTCGCTCGCTTCCCCACTCGGCGTCTGTCCACTTGTTCTGAGACCTTCCGCTCCAGTTGTCTCCGGTATAGGTCGCATCTTCCTCCATGTTCGGGTAGAGGTCGTCGAGCCTGATTCTCTCAAGCTCTGTGAGCTCATCCCCTTCGAACTCGGTGTCAGGGCTTTCTTCGCCCTCGACCAGATGCCTGGTGCCTTGTCTTCTGCCTCCATGGGAGCTTGACTCACCTTCGACTGGAGACTGATCGAAGAGGCCTGGTAGGGGCGAGTCTCCTCGGTCGAGGAGTACGCCCCGGGTATCGGTGATGTCGACAGAGTCGACTGACTCGGAGGTAGCGCTTCTGTAGGAGTCGGTGCTCGACTCTGAGGATCGTGAGCTGGGTCGCGACAATCCGTAGAGGGACTCTCCATATAGGGATTCTTGTGGGGCGGGCGGTAAAGTTTGTTGAGATGTCGCGGGTATATCGATTACCTGCGGGGGGTATGCAGGTGCGCTGGGTATGTAATGGAAGGGAAGTTGTGGTCTTACCCTTCTCTGTTGTTGACAACAGCGGAGTAGATTGTACAAGAAGATGGACAAGAAAAAGAGTATAAAAGTCACGAAGACGGCGGGAATGGCGTCGGACCAGGGCATCCGTTCGTGCGTCTATTCTCTGTAGGGTTCGACGACTCTGATTAACCATGCAACGACAGGTGGTTTACCAGTAGTTGAATGGCTAAGGTGGTGAGCGCGATGAGGAGGATGATAATCAAGTTGAGGTCGGCCTCATAGTCGAAGTCGGTCATCAACAAGATTTCGTCGTTTTCGGATGTACTTGTTACTGTCAGCAATACGATTGCCAGCAGTGGAGCGAGTCAAAAGAGGATAGGAAAGGGTTTCAGATTCAGTAAAATTCGATGTAGAGTCCTACAAGGTAGGCCGTGAGTAGCGGGGCCGGAATGTAGAACTGACACAGAATAAGGGTGATCGCTACCCGGATTAACACTGAGGTTATCGGGTCTCGATACAAGGGTGGCAGTACCCAAAAGGCGACTGCAGCGAGTATAAGAATTGGATAAATGGTCGGATACGGGCTGGGTCCTAGATGATCGATAAGCACCGACAATTGTCTAGGTGCAGCCTAGCGACCTTACGGTCTAGCTGGAGGGTATTGGTTTTGGAAAGGTTGGGCAGCGTGAAGCTGGGCAACGTGTGTCGAGCTTCGGCTAAATGTTAGCCACTAACTCTAATCGACTTAGATCGTACTAGGATCCCTACTCGCACTTCAGTGGGAGATACTCTAGCAAGTCAAAGGCGACGAAAGTCGATGGGACAGATAGTCATGAAGGACGGAGTTCGATGTTAGGTAGATTAAACCTTAGCCGAAGCTGGGGTTTAGGCCAGCTGAGGCTCTTCTTAAATACACGTTTCGTATGCTAATAATAGTATGTGAGAAACTGTCCGTGGTGATCGCATATGAGTAATCCGGCTGAGTAAGACGAAAGAAAATGAATAAAATGAATAAACCGTAACAAGACAATGACAACGGCATCGAAGGGGTAAACAGAGCTCATATCCATGTTACCCTATCCAAATAATGGGGGATGCATGAGTTTGAGGTTGGTGGGTGAGCTGGGCGGTGCGTGGGAGGCTGATGTTGGATGGGATACAGCAGGCGGCAGTGGGGGTATCCGGGATCACGTAGCCATGAATGTGGGTTCGTTCACAACACCTTCAAGCCCTCATTCAATGCCTTAAATGGCACAGTCATCATCAGTGTTGTTCACCATCAGCATCCTGACCTTGCTCTCGCCCTCCTGCCTGTACCCTTTTGCCCTCCCAGCCCTCCCCAGCCTCCCCAACTTCCACACCATCCTTAATCTGCTATTTGGCATGGTCATGCACTATACTCTAGTCCTCCTACCCCTCATGCCATCACTGTCGTTGTTGTTGTTTTGGTCATCGTGACGGTTGGCTATGCATATATACACCCTCCTAGTGGTAGATGGAGGCGGATCTTGCGTTATCAAGTGAATGAGGCATCGTTAATGCATTTGGAAGCCATAGTGAACAGTGATTGGCCCCGATTTCGATGTGGGGGATGCTAGATGGGTCACAACAGCAACAGGACGAGGTTTAATGGCAGTGGCAAGAATTGATGGGCACCATAGTAAAAGGGTGATGGTGGTAGTGCAACTCTCCATTGTTTGGAGGGGGGAAATGATGCTGCCTTGCAGGAGGGCTTACGTGCAAGCGAGTGGGGCATGATGCACAATATCCAGGCCATCTGGGGCCACCAGATGGATAAAAAGTATCTATAAAACTTATATTAGCATTGAAAGTAATGAAACATACCTTTATTCCATTCAAACAAGCAGTGGGGGCAGGCAGACAACTACATGATAGACCGATGGTGATGGTCAGACCAAAGGTCAGAAGAGAAAAGAAGGGGTACAGCCACTCAATCACTATACGGTTTACTGGACCAGAGCAATTGAGTGAACAGAATGGATGCTCAGGATGCATCCTCTGCTTGACTTCATTGCTCCGAAGTCCTTTGAACTGACGGAATATACTATACTAGTGCTCTACTATACATTTATGTACTTTTTAGTATATTTAATGTATCACAACCTTGATTAATCTGCCTTTTGCAGTGAATATCACAAATTCCAGGACATTTCAAGGATGCATCCTTTGTACACAGATGTGTGCAACCTTTCCAAAGGTAAGATTGGTTTAATATGAAATAGTATATATTCCATTGTCCAAAACATGTGTCTGATCCATGGCGATCTGCCTGCATAGGCCTTGTAATCACTTTTCTCATTGAAGTGATTTCTTTGAGAATGGTATATGCACAGTTTCATCTGGTGCAATTTTGTCTGACTGAAGAATATTCTGGTCAGGGCAGGCATGCCTATTGACATATAACACTTTAAATAAGTACAGACTATGCTTTTCCAGGCAATATACTTCAATTTGAGCATGTACTGTGAGATATGTCTTTCACACATGCTTGTTGTATACTTTTTACATCATAATTCATGCCTATGTTGGCATAGGATAGAAAATATGTGCTGAGACGATGCCTAGAGTATTAAAAAAGACAACATACTCTCTACATTATATATCCAAGCACCGAGAATGGTTTGGGACCATACAATCTCGACCTATTTGCTTACTGGGACCGAGTTAGGGGTGTTTCAGAAAACTCTGGAAATCATCGAAATACTTTTTGACCTTAACTATCCATGCATTAAGAGATATAAACAAGATAGAATAATTATACATGACTGCCATTATCATATTACATTTTGAATAAGTGCAATGTACTATCTGCTATCCCAGAAAATTTGCCTGCTTTCCGAAATTCCAAAGCATATACCAAACTGAGAATGGTATATTCCCACAGTATGTTGCTGATGACTCAGCTTGAATTGGCTTAACGCCGAAGTCATTTTTGAGCTGTTTGCTCTGGGTGCATTGATATTAAAAACAGAAATTGATTTGATGTCTGCATTTGATCACTGGATGTACTAGTAGTATTAGTTATAGTGTAGCTGCTAGTCCTGTCCTTCTATCATTAACAGCTTGAAATTAACTTCAGCATTAAGCTGATTCAAGCCAAGTCACTGGCAACACTATCCCACAGTAAGTACATCCTAGCCATGCCAGCATTCAGTCAAATATACAGTAAGCATAGATGTAGAGTAGTACCAGTATGTGAAATAAGATTTTCTGACCTGCTCTGTTTTGGAGCCCTCCTGGCAATGAGCAAGAGGGTGGGAAATCCATTGCCACCCAAGCCAGTATCAAAATGGGAGCATTGAATATCATGTGAGTGAAAAATGATGTCAATAATTAATCGTTGGCAATTGTGCCTGGTGCCAGGTGTTTTTGAGGGCTGGGACTGAGAGGCTTTTCTTAATAAAACCAATTTCTCTCGCTTAGAGGTTTTTATTGATAAAATGGTCCTTATGGATTGGCAGATACCCATTTGTCCTTCTACATGAATATCTCTATCATTGGTGATGGTTCATGTAATGACCCTGTCATGGGATCATGTTTCTTCCATTCTCGTGAGTGCTGTTTTCTGACCCTCTCATGCAAATAGCCTCCAAGTGCCAGTGTGTCTGGCAATGCCTCACATTCTTCACAGAGACCTTAATCCGATGGGCATTGTGCTACATATTGCATGAACTATGTGGGCAATGTCCAAAAATAGGGGCTCCACTGTTTCTTTGCTCCAAGCATTGATGCATAATGGTGCTCCATATCCTCTGTGCTATATTGTGTCCTTGGAAAAGCTATTGCTGCCATGGAGAGCCATCACAAAGCCTCCTTGTCACAGCACCTTCCCTTGTTCACCCTTATATTCATAGGTGCACAATTTCAATCTCATCTCGCCTCGTTGCAGGGTGTATGGAAATTTGGTCAATTACTGGTCTTTTTTTTTACTCGCTGCACTCACAATTAATTACTCTTTCTGCTAGATGTTGTCCTTGGACACTATTTCTTCTTTTGTTGTTTGTACGCTTCCTTGACGAGTTTTGTATAATGGCCCCATCTTCGCTCTTTGATGCTATCTCTCCCTCTTCCTCTTTGCAGGCTGCCGAGCCTTTTCACTGTATACAGAAAGAAGGCATCGCACATCTCTGCATTTCACACTCTAGTATACTGTCCTTATTGTTGCTCCCCACATCGTTCATGATGCTACACTGGTGACACTCTATACAAATGCCATGGTGTCTCCACATCAGGGTCCTTAACTGCAATTATCTCACTGTGATGTCTTTCCTTCTGGTACATATTATGCATACTTTTCTGTGATTTGTCCCTGCAATTCCTTCAAATCCATGAGACATTTTTGGCTGGTGACTGAGGATATCACAGCGGCATGAGGGATTGTGGTCTGTGACATGTTCCGTGTTGGCACAGAGCACCCATGTTCCTCTTTGGGACCTAGACCAGTTATCTATCTATCTTTAACATGATTCTTTTTCTTTTTAGGTTCAGTTCAAGAATGTGATTTGACTTCATGTCTGGTATTGCTCAAGTACCTTGTTTCCTGCTAATCAGTTTGTTATTGTAGTGATATTTGCACAGGCACACAACAATCAAGAACCTGCCATGATACGTTGATACTGATGATCTACTTGGCTGGGACTGGCATTTTGGCATGCAGAGAGCATGGAGTAGAGTTGTCTTTGAGTGTACGCAGGTTAGGCAAGATATTCAGAGTGGCGTTGATGTCTGAGTGGGATGCAGGCAGCGAGAGGAGTCACTACAGTGTCAGCTACACGCTGCATGTGTACCTTTAGCTACCTTTCATCCATCTATGATATTTTTGAATTCGTAAAATTGATTGAGGATTTGGACTTGCCACGATTGCACTGAGCCTCTCACTTGATTTGCATGGTACAAGATAGCAGTAGGGAATATTTTCATTTTCAAGACCTAATGCACATGCAGGGATGGACAGAACTTCAAATGGAGAGCAAAAGCATAGCATACCACAGCTCAGATTAGATGTTAGATTGTGCAAAACGTGAGCTGTATTATATATTTCAGCTTGAACAAGCACGTTCACACAGATTTACAAAAAGGATACAACTTGCCACAGCCGTTTCTTCGTACAAAAGGAAAGAATCGGGGACCCGGCAACTGCCGCTACTGGATTAGATTTCGTGTCTGCCACGACCGCCAATGCACACTTGCTTCATTTCCTACTTTACTGTTCCCATTCCATTCCCTTGAAAACTTCGGGAAAGACATTTCAAGTTGATATATTAGCCGTACAGAGGGTGATTGCTACATCGTCTTCCCCAATATGCGGACGTCTGCCGTATGGGTCCTGTTCAGCAGCGTTTTCGTTGTTTGCTCAGCCGGTCCACCTGTCAAAGTCTCGTTGAGGTCGTCATGGCGTGCACCACCAGTCCTTGTCGAAATAATGTGCGTTTGCCTGTATTGGTTCCCTGACGAGCCTTACGTTGACGTGTTGAAAGTGAAACGGTCGCACTAGAGAATCCAGACGCATTTTTCCCGTTCGTCGACAGCATAACGAACCCCGAGACGCATGCGCTCGCAAAAGATCTTAGTCCTGAAGCTATACACCAGCTCGCGCTGCAAGCAGCCGTAGCAGGCGGGTTCCTTACGGAACCGGGGGCACTGACTGCTGTAGAAATGAACCTGGCAATGCATTCTGCGACACCGAAAATCGAAGCCTTTTATCAACACTACTCTGATCTGAATTCGAAAGTTGATTGCGGCTCCTGGGTTGACTGGTACGGCACAGCAGTGTGTGACGTGGAGACTCTGGTCCAGCTTGCGGGCAGGGAGACTATCGATTCGAAAGAAGGCATACCGTGAGTAGCACTGTCGTTTTACACTCGTTTTAATTTACCCGTTGTCAGTAATCCTTTCAGCCGACCCAAGATCCTGCCGTTTGATCACGTCAACCCTTCTCCCAGCCTGACCTTGGACACTCCGCCTCGCACGGCCATTCTGTATGCGTCTTTAGACTCGGAAAATTTCCGAGAGCTGCATTCGTACCTGTTATCCCATGCTTCGTCGAACAACATTGAATATATCTTCCGATATATTCCCCCAAAGCAAGCCGACGATGCTCCAAGAAGTTTCTTGTCCGGCTATGGTGTCGCGCTGGACCTTAAGAAGATGGATTACTTGGCTGTGGATGACCGAAACATGAATGGCGGAGGTCTGTCGTTTTCCTTGTCCGACCGCCCGTGCTAACGTAATGAAACATAGCTGGAGCCGCAGACGATATCTCAGAGGAGATTGGGAAACGTATTGATGCTGTGGCATCCTTGATAGAAGCATACCCGGAGAATGCCACTGCACCGGAGACCACAGTGCCACTTACAGAAGTGGAGATCTTAGGTCGGTAATTCAGCAATTGCGGTCAGAGTCTGACACTGACGCAGGTCACAGAGCTGAGTTTGAAGGCGTCTCAAATCATTGCTGAATCTTCCGAGCCTCTGGATACACTTAGAATTATTTCACAAGACTTCCCCAAGTATGCAACATCGCTTGGACGACGCGTCGGAGCAAATGAGAGCGTCGCTGAAGAATTACACAACAATCAGCTTAGAGTACAAGCCGGTGGACATGCGTTCTGGTTCAACGGGGTGCCGATGGCAGAGAAGGATGTTACGCCCTATGGATTACTGAGGATGTTTCGCAAGGAGCGAGGAATAATGTCGTCGTTGACTTCTTTGGATCTTTCACGGGC